AAGAGTGCTGATTTGCTCCTCCCAGTATCAAGATTTTGTCATCTTTTACCCCTCCTACTCCAAGGGAGATGGTGGCAGAGAGAGTTACAGCCTGTGACTCAGAGTTACCTTCTTCATCTCAGAGGGAAATAGAGGCCCTGCTGCACAAAGTGATCGTCAGGACAGACAGGAACCACACACCCCCCAACGGGCTATTGCACAGACACTGCAGTGCAGCTGGGATTAGATATGGCCAACGAGTCCTCTCTCCTATCTAGGAGTTCAGTACCAGCCTTTACCTGAACATTTTATCTACTGAGCTATCAAGTTGGGAGCAGTAGTTAGAGTGGAAAACACTGCTGAAAAAACAAACCAGGAGAGAGAAGCCTGCCTGCATCTGTGGGAAGAAAGCATCGTCTTCAGTCTGACAGCCAACAGAAACAACCTTCTTGGTGCTCAGGGCCCAGGTTTGGGGAGAACACGAGTGCCTAGGGTCTTCAGAAGGAGGGGTGCCCACAACAGAAAGCTCATGGTAATCATCATCAGAAGTTTCCCATTGGAAGAGAGGCTGGGGAGCCAAGCTGAAGGAAGAGGAGGAGACTGGACTGGGAGCTGAGGTAGATGGCACATGGGAAGGCTGAGGTGGGATTGGGAGGAGAGGTGTGGGGCCAGAGAGATGAGAGGGAGCAGCATTAGCAGGGATCGTCTTTGCAGCATCTTTGGAAGGCTGGAGTGGGGGAGAGGCTGGAACAGAGACCGTCCTCCTCGGGGGGAGCGGGGATTCTGGAGGAAAAACCACCTAGAAAGACAGGAAGGAAGAAGAAAGGTGAAAATATCCAAAGAGGAACCAATAGGCACTTCCTGCAACAGGAAGGCTGTTGTTACTACTGTTTATCTAAGGGGAAAAAGCAGCAAGAAAGACAAGGGAACTAGAAAATGTGCTTCCCTGTCTGGCTCAACAAAGAGCACTATCTTATACCCAGAGCTTCCTGCACAGGTACAATACTGGGGGAAACAAAGCACGCTGCTATGACAGGCGTCCCAGTGTGGTTTTAAAAATAACCCCCATGTGGACATTTGTCATGTGATAGCAGCAGACTGCCCAAACAGACACCATCACCAGCACCCTCAGGTCCCACTCCAATTCTTCAATATCAAGAACTAGGACCCTCGTGCCAGTTCCCTTTTCAGGCTACTCAAGGGTGAGCAGACAGAGTTAGTTCTTCATTTTGTGTTGCTTAGGAGACTCTGGAACTTAACCTGCACCTCCACACCACGCCATCTGGACAGAGGGACACGCTGCAATTTCCCAGCACATGTCCCTGCTTTCTACCTTCTCTACTTGCTGTCCACCATCCTGCTCTTCCCCCTGGGGCCTGGCAGTGATGATGACCCCCTCTGTCAGCCAGTCATCCTGGCTTTTGCACTCTTCCTGCTCCTGTTTAGCGATGCCCAGTCTGTCCTGCAGCTCTTCAATCAAGCGATCTTGGGACTCAGTCTTGTGGAATATGGCAGGACCTAGCTTACGCCTTGGAGAGAGGTCACGATACATTGGATGGACATTTGCGGTCTCTTTAGTCCTCTTGATTAAAGATTTAATCTAAATGACAAAGGTAATAGTATCAGCAGAGAAGAGCAATGCCAGAGCAAGCCCCAAGATGCAACAGCACAAACTCAAGCCATTAGTGACAACTGTGAGCAGGAAGAGTGATGACATTTATTCCACAATGCCAAAATTCCTCTTGGCACAGCCCAGAACAGTGACTCAGTGCAAGGAAAAACCCTGTAAGGATAATCACAGCAGCCAAAAATATCTAGAAAAGGAAGGGAAATATTAACCAGCAAGAAGCCAAGATAGGAGGTGCAGTATGACCACTCCACTGAGCATTAAAGAAATCTCAGCATCACAAGGGCAGAGCAGCCTCTGTGTCTGCCCTTCACAGGCATAAGACTCTTGGTCAGAGATGTGGTGCACAAAGCGAACCTTCAGCGCTGGAAGGAACACTGACAGCTCGGGCAATGAGACCTAAAAAGGCCGGCAGAGCAGAGGAGCTGCCAGCCCAAGTCAGGAACTCCAGTGGCATGAAGCAGCCTTTAAACTTTTCAGAGGCCTCCATGGACTGAGCCTTACCCCAGTTAGGGAATAAAAGTCCATTTCACAGGCAAGTCCCTACAGACTGCCCTGTTCTGTGCTGCTGACTGACATGCAGAAGAGACCACGAGATAAAGTAAAGGATTTCAAACCTCGGTGACATGCAGCTGTCAGTAACATTGCTCAGAGCTGCATGCTGTTAGTGTGGGTGAGCCCGGGCACGCTCACACCACACACACAACGTTAGTGTGCAGTCAGAACAGTCCTGGCCAGGACTCGTCCTACTGCTACGTTCATTCAGTGCCTGCCTGGCCTGAAGCAGAAATCCTCTCAATAGGTGGTTTGGAGACACATGGCAGATCCCATTCAGCCTTCCAAACGTTTTCAGGAGATTCTGAAGTGACTGCACAGCTTCTGAACTGCTCATTTTCCTCATCTCCTCTGGCTTTGTTCATGTTAGCAGTACCTGCCCTCCCAGGAGTTCTCTCTCTGCCCTGCCTCTTCTTGACCGGATCAGGACAGCCATCTACCTTGGTTTCATGTGGTGCTTCAGCTTTAAGTTCTTGTTCTTGCTCCACTACAAAGCCCAGTTGGTTTCTGGTATCTGGGAAGACATCCCACCGATCCAGGGCCACAACAGAAGGTTCATACACAGGATTCAAAACACTGTCATTCTTTGCTTGTACTTCTGGCACATGTGCAGACAGCTCCAGGGCCCACAGCTCATCTAAAGCTGCTTCCACACTTTTGCCCTGAGAAGGAAGGGCTGAATTGTCCCTGAATGCTCCCTGCTGATCCAGCTCTTTAGGTATCTGCCCCTTCCCTTGACCATTTAAAGTGTCTGAAATGGATACACCTGAGATTTTGGGGTAAGTTCTCTGCTGCTTCTTCTCAGTCTCTCTTGCCAAATCGTACTCTAGGCCTTGTGCCTCCACTTCAACAGATCTACACAGAAGCTCCTCACTGGAAGTTGGCACTGGAAATGCCTGGGAACCATTTCTGGCAGAGTCAGGCTTTCTGCCTAGCCGAACCAAGCTTGCAGAGGTCATCTGCTCACCACGAGTAGCAGAACCAGAAGAGACTCGTGGCGGGGGCACAGGGACCGTTTGTGCCAAACAGGGCGCCTGTGCAGGAGCGGCAGAATGCCCTGAAGGAGGCAGAACTGCAGTGCTGCTGCCTTCCTCAATGCAGCAGACTGCTGAAGGGGCAGACGTTGGCATCACTGAGTCCCCACTGTGACTTGCAGAAAGGTGTTTGGAATGGGCCAGCACTGCCAAGCTGTGAGGAGCGTTGCTGCAGTCTGCATTTGGTGATCTGGGAACCGGTTCTAGGGAGGGTTCAGAAATCAGAGACATAGTGGAACTAGTCTGGAAAAAGGAGACGGAGTAAGGAGAGAAAAAGATAAAGACAGAGGTAAGGAGAAGAGAAAAAGCAAAGAATTAAGCATTATAACAATCATGACCTACAAATCAAAGAGCCATGTTGAGCCAAAGCCTTACTTCCAAGAGGAAGGAAGGAAAACGAGATATCAAAGAGCAGAACCAGTACGACATTGTGGTGAGATAAGTTCTACAGACATCGAGATCCTTCTCCTATGCCCTCCTCCTAAGTGACAGCTGATGTGTCCACCTGCAGCTGTGACGAGGACGTGCAGCAGCCGCTGGGAAGCCGGCGACAAACCCAGGAATGTCTAGACTGAGAGTGAAGGTCACGTTAACTTACAAAATGTATGTGTCTGACTATGAGTATTTCACAGCTGAAAAAGGCAATCAATGAGTAGAACAAAGCATGACATTTTCTTCCTGATACACTAATAAAATGCTCCAGTTGGCTGGATACATGGCAATGAAAACAAAGCTTCAGGGCATTCACAGCAAGAACAGATGACACAGGCTTTGTTCTACTCACATCACTAATCTCACCTTGGACGTGACACACACTGCATCTATACGAGGCTGTCAGTCACTCCATGCCCTTGTAAGCGTTGCTTAGGTGGCTAGATTAGCCTCTTCCCCTTAGGCCAAAGACTCCACATTTACATTGTAATAGAATCAGTATTAATTTTGATCCAAAATACACTCTGGCAAGAGCAACTCACACAGAGTTTTTGGTTCTCCTGGACATACAGGATCTTCCGCAAACAAAAGCTCATGGGGCCACCTCTCCCTGTTTTCAGTGGTTCCTGGCTGAGCTCTAGGTACAAACTGGCATTACTCCCTTTTCTTAAAAAGGCAAAGTAAGAACAGTGGCTTGGACAAGTTCACACAGCAGGTCAACCTAAGCCCAATGCTGAGCTCTCGCAGTTTTAAACACGTATCCACAGTGTATTTCCAAATCCAAGAGCTATCAAGACCTGCTCTGATTCCTTGTCACATTTTCCAAAGAAGCTTCAAGAAGTGAGATGTTCATGCTCTAAGGCAGCAGGGCACTAACCACCTAAGCCCATGCATGTTGTCTTAGTCTTTACTTACCTTTTTGGGATACTAATCATGGGTAAAATGATAAAATTAACCAGAACATACACAAAGTGTGCCAGCAGATGGAAAAGATCTAAACCTTCAGCTGACCCATCTGTGAAGTCACGACAGTGGCGCTACAGGGAGATCACACTCAGAAAAGAGCAACAGGGGACCACAGTTCATCACGGATTGATCCTCCCCTCAAGAAGCACAGCAAGACCCACAGTCACAGCAGATGGAAAAGTGCTAATAAGTACGTTCAGTGGTTAAAATGAGAGAATTTCCCAACATTGCCCTCCACTTGTATTTTGACTAAGCTGGATGCACCTGTAAAAGTAACCTTGTTTTATGCTGTGGTTCACACTCAGTTTCCAGGCTTCCTACAATGAAGTCAGTCATTTTCAAACCAACACTACCATTTTGCTCAAAAGCAAGTATTTCCAGCATATTAAAAATACAGCAGCTCCAAAATAAGAGCTATGGTTAAACGCTCAACAGTAACAGAACAGTTAATACAAGCACCTAGCCAGGCAGTAAGTGGGCATCGTATTACACAGAAATGGCAGAGGCTGAAAAAACAAGAGCATTAAGTAATCTCAGTGCCTGCTGACTGATCGGCTAGATAACCAAAATCAAATGGATTCTGTGAGCAAAAAGAATGAGCAACTCATTAAAGCAAGCAGAAGATGATAAAAGGGTAATGTATCAGCCTGCAATAGCACCTTTTACTCTGCGGTATGAGGGAAACTAAACAGCAGTGCCTCCACTCCTCCCATCCCCATCTACTGCAACTTCCAGGAGTACGAACTACCAACTCTAACGAGTTACACAGCATACTTAGTTTTTCTGTCCTATTTTTTGCAACCACAGACAGGTCTTGCACATGAACAACAGCCTTTCATCTTTCAGCATTGCAAATACTTCACTCCTCTCCTATCCTGCCAGACTACAAATCGAAATCAGAAGGAAGGCAGTATTACCAAAAGCAGCTCCTCTCCATCATGCAGGGTTTATTGGAGCTCCACAAACGTTCTTAGGCCTTTTCTTAAGACAGCATTTGGACTTGGAAATGTCCTCCCCTTGGATCTTGCACGGAAAACCTGTGCTGCAAGGTCATTCTCTGTTGCCAAAGCTCACCTGGGAGCAAAGGCCGGTGGCAGCAACCACACCCTGAGTTTGTTTTCTGAGCCCTGACAAAAGCAGCAGGAGCACAAGGCCATAGCACACAGAAGGAGCAAGGCACGGTACACCAGCAGCACAGGTGGGAACGATTCTCCAGCTTCACAACAGTGCAGGTTTTCAACCAGACTGAAGAGACACTTGGGGATATCCTGCACTCTGCCTTATGACCGAATATGGAGAAAAAAAAGGCAACCCTAAGGTGTCAATATTTGCAGTTGACTAAATACATACTACTGTAAGTCTAGAGAAAACAGTGAGTAACACCTAGATACTCACAAAATGAAGTACACGGGCCAGAAACGGCAGACTGAATTCAATTCTATCGAGAGCAAGGCAAGAGAAGTGCCACAGAGCATACGTGCTCGCTGCTGAACTCATGCACTTGATCAAAACTCCCGGTATTGTAATGACCACTGTGAAACCCACAGCAGGCACCAAAAGCACTCACATGAATGGTGGCACAGACACTAACAAACAGCAAAGCTGTCATTGAATGTCGTGTCTACCCCTCCTCACCAAGCACTCCTCAGCTTTGGCTGCCCCACCTGAAGTCATGGCAGAAGGAGATGGGAGTTCAGCACGGACAGGAAACACCAAGCATCAGCAGAACTTTCCATATGAGAAAAACCAGAGTTAGGGACTTGCTTAGGATTAGAAAGCAGACTTGTGTGTGTGCAAAAGGCAAACCCAACAATGACAGCAAAGACAATATATCCCATTTTGAGGTGAATAAGAGATGTTGTTTTAAGATGGAAACTTCTGAAGTCTCCAGCAGTCTGATGCAAAGCCTTCAGTGCTCATACCACATGCCTAGAAGATCATCCTCCAGAGTAAAAATACACTCCAAAGAGCAGGGTCATCCACAGAACAGAAGAGCCTGGTCTCTGTCAGTGAGAAGACTGGTGTACCATGCCCCACTACTTCTTGTTAAGTTGCAGCACAGCAATAATTCACCCTGTACTGAGCTCATTAACTTTGGCAAACAGACAAACTGCAGAACCAAAGGAAAAACAGACCCTAGAACTGCCTTACCCTGCCAGTGATGAGAATTTATAGCAGCAGTTGAGAACACCTACAGCAGCACTCAGAAAGCACAAATACCACCACAGGAAGTCTCTCAAAGCAAGTTTGAGAAGTAAAGAGGGCATTCAGGAGACCAAACAAGGTCAGCAGATGTGGCTAATGGGCAAGAGTGGGTGGGGAGGGACAAGATGTGAAGTACTGAGTTGTCATGATAGGGTACCTTAAAGTCAGAGAGAGATGCCATCAGCTCATCCAGTTCTCGTGTAGCTGAAGAAGCAGATATACGCGTCTGCTGCTGACTGGCGGTGACCCGCTGGGGGCTGCTCACCTCACCTTGGCTCACAGTGATTGCAGGGCTGGCAAGAAAAAAATAAAATAATTAAAAAAAAACCAAAGAGTGCATTTAAGGCCAGAAGAGCACTCCTAGACTGAAAGTCCCAGTGCTCCCCCAAGCAAGCACAGGATGACGAGTTTCATCAGCACTGCCCACCCTGGGCAGCCCTCCCCCAGACAGAACACACACAGACCCTGTCTAACATGAGTGGATACACTAATTTTTTTTGTCAGACAGCGAGTATTTGTGATCAGCTACAAATGCGACTTCAAACAATCCACTCTTGTAACACAACTTATGTATTTTTTTCATCCAGGAGTAGATAAAAGAGTACCAGCATCTTCATGTGCTTGCTTGGTTTCCAACCCTTTAGACAAAGCCCGTCTTCTGTCTGTCACTCTCCAGCAGCATCTGTCCCTACACTATAGTCACTATTGCCACCAGAGCCTGTCCCACCCCACCCAAGCCAGCAATCACCAAAACACTACTCACACTGGACTTGGCACAGAGCTCTCCAGCTCGTCCAGCAGGCTCTCCACGCTGGGACGCACATCTTCAATCCCACGCGCACCATTTCTCTTTGGCTTTTCTTTTGTAGGGGGTGCAGCCTTCCCTCCCACCGAGCTGCTGCTCTCTGGGACGACATAGTGAGGTCCAGTCACGCTAGGCAGTGATGGGCTTCTGCTGGTTTCATCTGAAGAATGGGAAAGCAGAAAAGAGTCATTCAGACCCCTAGGTCCAGACATACATGCTAATCACAGACAAGAGCAACAAACTGCCCAGAAACCTTGTGGAACATCCACCTTTGAGCATATTCAGAACTTAACAGCATAAGGGCCTGAGCAACCTAATTTAACTTTTAAACTTCAGCCAGAGCCAATTTCTGAGTTGTCCCTGCTTTGAGCAGGGTGCTGCACACTGACCTCAAGAGATCCCATCCGTACTAAATTAATCTTTGATCAAGGGCTGGAGGGGGCTCCCTCAGTAAGCATAAGGATGTTGAAGGAAAAAGTAGGCCACTTGTTTGAGAATCAAACTATGCACTCATTCCAAACGTACTGCTATTTCTTACCTGCTGGGAAACCACTGGCGGGATTATGCTGAACGGCATTCAGTTCCAGAAGAAGTCTGTCCAGTTCTGAGAGGTTGCTGCCCAGAGACGAGCTGGTCATCGTGGGGGATGGTTCTGCAGACTTCTGCTTGTTCGGGAAACTAAAGATAAAAGGGAAGTGTGAAACTTCTGCTTCAAGATACAGCAAAAGGATGGAGGGAATCTTACATCAGGTTCACAAGTCCTACATGCATACTGTATTCTTGTCAAGCTGATGCTTTTAGCTCTGGGGGAAAGAAGACGTGTGCTTTGTGAAATGCCTACAACACAGTCACTGCTAAGCCACCTGTCCAGTTCTCAGTTACAAAGAAATAGCATTGATGGACAGAACCTCAGGTTTTAGGACTGTGCTACACAGCCCTGTGGCAAAGAGTTAACTGCAGATCCCAGACACACAGAACAGCAGCAGAACCAGGAAAATGACTTCTTTCTGCTGATTATCACATCAAGCAGCAAAAAGCTCTCCCCTGAAGCCAGGGAACGCAGGGCCAGCACAGACTGGATAGAGAAGCAAAGTGCAAACCTCAAGCTATCAACAAAGAGTCAAAAGCAGCAGGTTATGTGGTGGCCTCCTGCAGCACTCAAGGTCTCTTTTCAAGACCTCAAACCTTAATTTAGGGAACTCCAATTTGAAAGCAAGCAATTTGAAACCATTTTCTACCATGTTAAATACACAGGCCTTGAAAGAAGTTTACCTGGGTGCAAGACTGTATAAAACACGAGCTGTACTTATTGCTTATCCTGTATGCGTGATCTCATTTACCACGCACAACTGCAAACTGTTTCAAAGCAAAACTTAGCACCAACTTAGTGATTTTTATAGTAATCACACTGCAACAACAGTCTTTCCATCATCAATGGCAGGGAAATAATTTTCTCCTAGTTTTACAAATGGAGAAATAATTTCTAATGCTCTAAAGGTTCTTATTTTATCAAAAAGATACTTTCCAAATCCAAAATGGGAACTTCTGTCTTGCTCGCACTACCACATGGTGCTCAGAAAGTTAATGTGTAACAGACTTTAGGACTCTGACACCTGTAACAGCAGTGACAATTATGGAATTCCACCAGGGCAGTTATTACCTCTCTCTTCAGAAAAAAAAATCCACAGATGCAATCCGAGGAGGGCATACTTCATCCCAACCCATGCACACAAGCTACAACTCGCACCAGAACCAAGCCATGCCAGACCCTCATACAGGAGGACTTACGACTGTAATTACCTCCATTTTGTACCAACTGCATGAAGCCATCTGAAAAAATTGCAATTACTGCCTCCATTGGGCCATCTCTGGATATGCCTGCCTCTACTCAGAACCAGTTCTGGTTGACAGCAACTTTCTGCCCAGCAGAAAGAGGTAGACATGGTCAGAACAGGGAGAAACCGCAGCCTCCACACTGTGACGAGGTGCCCAGGACAGAGTGCACTGTAGAGGGGTGGTGGCAGAGATGAAGTTCTGACAGAGTCCTCCCCACTTTTCCCACGTCTGCAGAAAGGTCTGTGCTACTGTACAGGCTACTCTTCCAGCCTCTCTCAGTGTAAGTGCAGCTGCCTTTGCGAGTATAAACTCGCTATCTATCATCTATGGAGACTAAAGTTTTAAGAAGTTTGAATTTACTTTAAAATTCAAGTTGTTGCACATCCTGCTACACCACAGGTAACCGAGTTCCCTAGGATAACTGACCCAAGGGCCATCCATCTCCTAAAGAATTTTTGGGCTGTTTAACAGGGGGATGGATTTGTCACTTGTGTCCGGATCGTATCCTTCACAACGCAATCCAGATCCTGCTGTCTGATGGGTCCTTAACCTCTTCTGCAGCTGAGCAAAGCGAAGGGCCAAGTCAATGTTTGAAGTACGTATGAAATTTACAGTGGCCTATTACAAAAGATGTAATCAAAACCAGTACGGGGCAACACATAACATCCACAGGGAGCACAGTGTTTGTTTCTACTTATTGAAGGCAGGCTCCAGCTGTGAGTCAGGCTTATCTCTTAACACGGACAAGATACCTGTAGACGTGCTCCTCTTCACTGGCACGGGGAGGAGAGCTGAGCCCGTCTCTAGCAACAGAGGCACTGGAGCTTTTGGCACTAGAGCTGTATATAGGAGACTGGGACTGAGGCTGTGGAAATGAGATTCACATTAGAAACACAGAATACAAAATGAATATGCACACTACTGCATTGCAACCCCATGCATGGATAGGACAGAGCAAAGCCCATCAGGAAGAAAAAACAGTCTGCTCTATAGCCAACCAGCCTCTATCAGATGAGTCACATCAGGAACAACCGTTCTCCACTTGCTTCACATTTGCCTATGAGTCGCAGATCTGTGCTGGAAACCCCGTCTGCTCTCCACAGGCTACAGGACAGATGACTAACACTAATCTCACCACACGGCCGTTCTGTCGGAACGACGACGATGGGTTTCAAATTCTTTTCTGCTATTTACTCCAACTAGTTAGTTCTACTAAAAACCCACATCCCCCTCATTTCCCCACTCTGTTCCTAGCCAAACTCATCCTCACTCACTGCTGTTCCCTCCCCTCATCTATTTCCTTGAGAAACACTGTACCAACAAAACAAGCACGCACCCTCCCCATCTGCGCACGTTCACTTACTTGCTGGTGGACGTATCTGGATACGTTGGGTTGCCACTGGTCTAAGGGGTCGATCACTGTGCCGTTCAGCGCCTCATTGGAGGGTGGTGGGGGCACTGGAGGTGGCACAGCGATCTCCTGGTATGTGTGGTTTCCAGTTGGATAGGAGTAAGGCGTTTCCTCTGTTAGGAACACTGGCCGTTTGGAGATATGCGAGGTGGTGGATTCCAGGTCTGCCAGCAAGGCGTCTGCAGAAAAGAAAACACAAACAAAAACCTGTGTCAGAAGGTCTTTGGGATGACTTTTTATCTAGGGTGATCAACTAAATGCCTTGAAAAGCATTACTGCAGCCCAGGACTGAATGGGTTAATCAAACTTCTAGTACAAAAAAAAGCCAAGAGGTAACAAAGCAGCCAGAAAAACTGTGTCAGCCTCCGATTTTTGTCTTAACTGGAAAACCACCAAACAACAGGGACCTGCAGTCTCACTGCACCCTGCAGAAGAGCAAGGTAGGAGAGACCTGCCCAGAGATCAACTCGCACAGGATACTGACACAGACTAATTACAGGCCCCACATCATCACAGAGCCATTTACCGTGGCCCCAGGCACTGCTTTCTGCAGGAAACAAGATCTCAGGAGATGGTTTCTCCAGAGTCTCAGGTAGCAAAAGCAGCATGAAGCTTTCAGATCTGTCCATCGGCACAGCAGGAGTACGTGCTTCAGCTCTCCTAACAAAAACCCTTCCCAGTACACCACACAAACAGTTAACTGGGTTCCAGAGGCTGCCAGGTAAACGCCATTTCTTCTCCTGGAAACAATTCTCAACTTGCTGGGTGGAGACTGCTCACAAATTCCTGAAGAGAAGAAAAACTTCCACCAACTAGAAACACTCACGCCAGGCAGAGGAACCCACGTCACGGCTGGCACCTCTCAGAAATCTTAAAAGCAGGAAAAATACATGAAAAGGCATTCCCACCTTACCGGATTTCTGCCCGCAAACTATCCTCTGCCCATTCCCAACCCCGCACTCCTCTGCGGTGACTCACAGGCAAATCCTGACTTGTTGGGCCTTCTGTCCTGCGAACCCACCCCACGGTGCCCGCTGCAGTCCATGGCAGGGGAAACTCCAGCGAGCGACTGCAGGTCTGCACCGCACTCACTTTCTAAAGAAAGCCTCACTGGCCAGGTGCCCAGCTTTCCGCTGGGGCAGCAGGCTCCAGCGCACACCTCTTTAAGGCTATTAGAGAGGAGATGGTTCGCTAGGGACAGCAGTGCTCTCCACTATGAGAGCATCAGGAGGAACCTGGCAGGTCCCTTCAGAGATGTGGAATTCAGCCAGACACCAATAACACAACTTTGGCAGAATCTGGAGAGGAGGCTCTCGGAAACCCCCTGGATCTCCCTCCCCTCCATGCAGACCCATCTGTCCTCAAGCAGTCTCAGCAGGATTTGTCCTTCTCCTCCTGCATGGAGCAGGTACTTGATACTCGGGTTTGGGGTGTGAGGGCTCAGCCTGAGCATAGCATCCCTGCAGCATCCTCCAGCAGGGTCGCAAGGAGCTGAAGTTATCAGGTGGCACCAGAATAGCAACCAAGTAATGGCTGCCAACCGGCTCTAAGAGGGCAGGCACCTGCCAGCTCAGGGCCGCTTCCCGAGCAGAGCTGACCACATCGGCCAATGCACTTAGCGATCCTTCAAGAAAATACATTAAAGGGTCAAATAGAGGACAGCATTATTGCATTACAAGATGAGGAAGGTGCTGCTTTTATATTTACTCTCTTCCGCAAACCAAAGCATCACAAATGGAAAAAAAAAAAAAGTAGTCCTGCCCTCAGAGAACAGAGTACAGCCATTAGCAAATTAAATACTGTGTTAAATTCACCCTCTACACCTTTCATTTAACCAAAAAGATACTCCAAGTAATTTAAGCCACAGGCATCTTCCTAGAGGGGGCAAAATACCCCAGAAGCAGATTCTCTGAAGGGATACAAGCTTTCTGCAGCTGGAGAAAAACGACCTTAATCCTCTTTTTAAGCAAAAGAACAGCTGGGGGATTCCAGAGTAAGGCACATACCTCAAGGGAACTGCTGAGGAGCTGCAATTCCTTCCACCAGGCAGGTCCTGTGACTGGAGGTTTCATGCACACAACCTTCAAAAGCAGTGCTATCCGAGAAGGTGTGGTTTTTGCTTCTCCCCACCAATGACAAAGGCAAATCAAACTCCACCAGGAAGTGAAAACCCCATGAGGGTGCTGGGCTCCTCCAGCCCTGCAGAGGGGACCCAAACTGTTTTCCCACTTGCCACCCCCAGCCCTTGCTGCAGGACAGGCACACGCAACCATCTCGCCACAAAATTCACCTCCTCGGCTCAGCACTGACTGAACCATCAGACAGAAATCCACTGCTCCCTGTTAACGGCACAGAAGTGAGATTTACTGCTTTACTTTTACAAGTCTGCCAAGGAAAGAGGGGTCTGGAAATAGCAGGAGCACTCTGCCCCCAGGTCGTGAAGGAGTTAAGGAGAAGACATTACAGTTTAATGATTAACTTCCCCCATACCCTCCCCCTTCCTGACTTGAGCAAACAAGGCAGCGCTGAGGAACAGGAAGCTGAGGGAGGAGAAAAGGCTGGAGAGGAATCACTGGGTTACTCACACTGCACTTCAACTTTGCAACCGATACCGAAGCAGCTGCAGGAAGGCACCACCCCAGCCGGCGGGACAGGGAAAGGAGCAAGCCCGGAGCAGGACAGGCGCTCACGAACTGGTCGACGGCTGGAAAGGACCTCTCCTTGTTCTCCCCTCCGTGTTCTGCAGACCCAGGGTCCACCTTCCTCACGCCCCAGTCACTCCCTCCACGTTCACTGCCACGACAGCAAGGTCTTCCCCGTTCACGTCCATCCCCATCGCTGCTTCCAGCCACGCAAACTGTCCTCGTATGCAATCCTAGCAGCAACCACTGCTCCCTGAGGTTCTGCTGAACGGGGGCGCTGTACCCGCTCAACCATGGCACCACAACTGCTCCGAGGAGGGACAGTGCCCCCCCAGCCCACCCCACCTCCAGGGGCTTCACCCTGCGAGGGGGAAGAGCCTCTGTGACACACGTCTGTGTGCTGAGGGCCAGAGAGCAACTCCAAGCAATTATTCAAAACCCAACCAAAGGGATTAACGTTTTGTTTTCCATGCATCACCTAAGAGATGCCAAAGCACTGTGCGTTCGCTTAGGATTTGTGTGACTTTTTAACACTACCAGAAGGCAACATGAGATAAGAGATGGGGGAAAAGAAAGGAGATTTATTAATGGAAAAATGATGCATCATTCACTGTCTTTCTTTTGCAAACTGGACCAGAAATCTGATGAACTGTAACATGGACACTGTGCCTTGTGCAGGGCTGCAGCTCACGTTACAGCACTGAGTTCACTGCAGTGACCGCTCCTTAAACAGAAATATTAAATACTTAAATGGAAATATTAAAGGTCTGATCGATTTACTGGGTAATGAAGTGTTCCTTCCCAAGGCGACTCCTGAGGGACAGTGCTGCAGGAGGTGTAAATCAACCCGTTAGTCCCTCCCAAGCCGTAGTTGACTGGAGCATCCTGAAGCGCTGACGCAGCCCAGTTCACACAGCCACCAGCCATGAGAGGGCACCACGACATCCTTACATGGACAGAAAGCTGAAACCCGACAGCAATGGCTAACTTGGCAGTAACTTCACTCACTTGTTCATCCCGCAGAGTCGGGAACCTGGCCCTATTTTAGGCACACAGAAACTTTCTGCCAGCGCCACGTGTGCCGCGCCTCCCCACGGCGCCGTGAATCCTCACAGCAGCACACGCTGTGGCATCGCGGCGGCTATCGCCCAGTGCTGGGAAAACAGCCACACACACTGACCTCACCACAGCTCTGCTGCCCAAAATACTCTCCAAAATACTACAGAGGAGTATTTTAGGAGCTCCTAACGTTGGTCTAGGAGGCAGAATTTCGCAAGGTTAAAAGATCAGAGGTTAATTTGTCTCTAGAGGTCAGATTTTAACCATTTTGGAGCAGTAAAGTAAAAGAAATAGGGTTATACAAGATCTTCAAGACATTGCTCCTCCACAAGACTGCTCCTCCTTTCACTCTCAGCCCTACAAGAAGCTGCTAACACGACCCTCAGACACAACATCAACTCAGACACGGGGACGGAATGAAATCACACAGTGAAGTTTTCAAAACCTCAGCAAGGCCTCAGCCCACCCCCTGACCCCTACCCCCCAACCCTATGGGCTGTGCATACAAAAATCTGTATTTTCCACTCTGTTAGTGTGGTGCTCGGTGAGGTGCAGTGGAGTGAGGGACACTTGCTAAAACACCACCAACCCAGCCACTCCTGCTTGTCACCACTGTGCCGGTGCAGTCACCCAGCTGATAAAGCCCTGACTCGCTGTCCGCTGCAGCACGGTGCGTCTTCACATGTGCACACCCGGGTACAACACGGCCTCAGGCGACTCAGCCAAGCACCTGGTAAAGCTGCACCAACACACGCGACCCAGGCACGGGACTGAGCCCTCCTTGCTCCACTGGGCAACCCAAAAATTACATTTCCATTGGAAGCACATTCAGGCCAGAGGGCTACTCCAACCACATCCTCCCCAGTATGGGAGGGCATTTGTGTTTGCATTCAAGTGTTTTTTCTGTGTTTTCCTGTGGAGGAGGGACAGTTCAAGAATGTTGTTCCATTTGATACCTTTACTTCTATAAAGCATTACAAGACACCTGGAGGTCCAGGTGCATTAGTTTGCTCCTTTTTCCCTTCCCTCCCTTTGGCCAAAAATCATTATTAACTACAAGGTCCCTGGGATTGTGGTCTTCAAATCCCACACACAGCTCTGCGTATACATTAGATACGTATGAGTGGTCCCTAATTGCTTCAAAGTAGTTCCCAGCATCTGCCAAAGCTCTGCTAGTCATTTGGAGGAGACACGAACTCTCAAGCTAATATCAAATGCAT